AGGAGCTGGAAGGAAGCAAGGATGGAGCCTTCCCCACGGGTTTCAGAGGGAGCACGGCCCTGCCAAGACACTGACTTTAAACTTCTAGCCTCCAGAGCCATGAGACAGCAAACGTCTGCTGCTCTAAGCCAGGCACTTCATGATACTTCGTGGCAGCAGCCCTGGCGAACTCCTATAGCTGGACACAAAGGCCAGGCCCGCCTGCCCGTATTTGGGACAATTCCGAAGGACCATCTCCACTGCCAAACTCCTTGTAGGATCGGCTGAGATCTGCCGTAAATACGCCGTAGGCCGGCTCCTCCCTTCGCTCAATACTGTATTCCTCACTTCCTTACAAAGCACATGCAACGTGCCATCTCAGAGTCGGTTTTGGGGACCCAATATAAGACAGTGTAAGACAGAGTCTGGCCCACAGGACACTGTCATGGCTGTCAGCCACTCAGGACTCTTCGGTCCTGAATTTCCTCAACCCTACGATACCCTAAACAAACAATATGGAGACCCTGCCAAGCTCCCACGTCTGAGACCCAGGGTTAAAGCAACTGTGTCTCATGGGCCAGGGCCTCCAGGTGAGGTCAACTCAGGGGTTCTGCTTTGGCCCCAGGTCCTGATCACCCCTGGAGGGGTCAGGCTTGGGCTAGGGACCACTAGGAAGGGCAGAGAAAGGGTCTTTTGTGGGTGACACAGTTCTGGGGCAAGGATCCCAGCTGGACCACGAAGGGGTCTTGGACTCATTCTCAAAATCCACCGGCCAGGACCTCCTGGCCTGAGCAGTGGACAGACAGTGGGCAGAAGAGGCAGCAACGAGACCCTTCGGTGGCGCAGCCTGAGGATTCAGGCTTCCAGGCGGGCCGTCCGGAAAGTCACACTCTGTCTCCCCTTCTCCCTCCCGTGCCTTTCCTTCTCTTCCAGCCCCCAAATGCTCTAGCCTCCTCTCAGACCTGGGCATTTTCAGCACTAGCCCACGGCTACCCCCACCTCTACTGGGGCAGAGGGGACAAGGGAAGGGCATGGCAGGCTCTGCCCCAAGGAATGAGGAGAGGGTTGCGGGCCCTGAGGGCTTTTGCATTCCCAGGGAAGTGGGGTAGGGGTGGGTAGTCCATTCTTTCACCCATTCACTACTCATTCAATGAACACTTACTTTTTACCTACTGCATCCTGATACTGTGCACACTTCGAGGTCCCAAATGTGAGAAACGCTCAGGCTCTGCCCTCCAGCAACCAGGGAGCAAACGGGAGACTACAATAGGGTCCGATGAGGGCTGCAGCGAGATCCATAAGGGGGTTCGGGATTTCTCAGGACGCAGATCCACCGAGTGCCCCCTTGGGAGGCTGCCGAGAGGACAGCCGTGTTAGGGTCTGCACACGGGGGTTACCTAGCCCCAGTGTGGCTGGAGGCAGAAGAAATGACGAAGGCAGGGGCCATCCCAGCACGGCTCACTCCCCACGGACCTGTAGGCTCCGGGCTGGGAGCACATTCAGAGCCCCACTGACCCTCCTGTCTTCTCCGCCCCCCGCCCTCCCCTCGGTAGAAGGAGTCTGCAGAGAACCTCTGCGGGGAGACTCTGGCGGAGGCGGTGGAGACTGGCCGGTGTGCGTGGGGCGGGAGCATGGAGAGAGACCGCGGAATGCTGGTCCTGCCGTGCCCAGGAATCGCCCCAGAGGTCCCCAGAGGGGTGCTCATGTCTCGTTCCCTGCGCTGTGTCTCTCATGCCAGGGGGCGCCAATCATGCTCTCCCCAGGCCCCTTACCCAGCACACGCTCAAATCCGCCCCTCGGGTGGTGCTGCCCCCCTGCCCCTGAGCCCTGGGGCTCCTCAGCCTCGTTGGCTTGAGTCTGAGCTGGCCCTGGTGGCACTCAAGGCTCTAGTACCGTCACTGTCCTTAGGATCACCACATCCACTGACACCCCGGCCCAAGGCCTCTTTCCTGTGTGAGTCCCCTCCATCCGGGGCCCCAGCCCCTTTGTTCCCCTGGGCTCCATGGGTGGGGTGCTCCCTGGGAGCACAGAGACCTGAACCCCACCCCCACCACCACCTCAAACACGCTCGTCGGCACGAGGCTCTCTGCATTATAGCCAGCATGGATTATGGTATCGAAATCAACTTTTATTGAGGTATAATTTGCGTATATATGATCATTTGTATCTATTTCAGGTGTACATTTTTTTTTTTGGACAAGTTTACACACCTGTGTGACCACCATGACAATCGAAATACGGAGCGTTCCATTATCCACAAAGTTCCCATGCAGGTCCCACCCCAACGTCCAGGCCACCACCGCTGATGCTGGCTGTCCTTCCTGCAGCATGTGGATTCACACAGGGTGCCCTCGTCAGAGTCTGGCGCCTTTGGCTTAGCTGAGTTTTAAAGATTCGGGGTGGAGGTTTCTTGGATATTGTCTAGAAACAGCGAGAATCAGAAGCACCGGAAGAGCAGGCTGATGCTGGAGGCCACATGGCACAGCAGCTCAGAGCGGAGCCGAGACCCAATGTTGGCTCCGAGACTGATGAGCTCTGAGACCAGCACAGGCCACGTGCGGTTTCTGCGCCTCAGTGTCCTCATCTGCAAAGTGGGCGAACGCCATTACGCCACGGCTAGAGCCACGGACGGCAGAACGTGGTGACCAGGGCCTGCGCGTCGCCCCGGGCCCGGCCAACTCCTTTGTCTTCAAACTGACGCTCCTTGCGCCTTCGCTGTCCTTGAGTCATACCCCGTTCTTTCCCCCGTTCTTTAGTTTACTCCCGTCTCCCCCACCCCCTCACCCAGTTAACTTCATACTGACACCCACCCCCAGAGCTCCACACTGGCCTCCCCCAGACCCACTCTACACATTGCATTCATTGTAACCTCTGGGGCTGTGATGCTGAGAAGGGACCAGGCTTATGATGACCAGGTGGGTCAGAGGCCAGGAGCAGGCAGAGGCCACTTGAGCCTGAGCTGGGGGTCCTGGCTGGTCCTGGGGGCTTTCTGGGTTTTCTGGCCTGTGTGGGTCCTGCTCTCCCAGGGGCCCGATAACTAGGGGGCCTACAGAGAGGCCAGACGTAGGAGGTTCAGCCTCAAGGCCATTTACTCTGTTCCAATCCCACCAGCCTCATCCCAGATGACTATCGCTAATTTTCATGTATATTTTCCTAACTCCTAACCTCTTTAAAAATAATGCCTTTACAACACATGTGTATAAGTATATCATCCTGATCTGATGAACTTGCTCATCTTGTACACCCTTCTAAATCAGTACCCAGAGCGCATGCTCATTCTTTCCCGTTGTTATTGGGTTCGCCATTGTTTAAATGAATTGAAATTCATTCAGCGAATACCTGGCAGGCATTCATGAGTATCGCTGTATGCGTTTGTGGTCAATGGATCAGTATTTGGGGCCTTCTTTGTAGCCAGAACTCTGGCCCTCCTGGCAGGAAAGAAGGGACAGGTCTCCTGGGTTTTCCTTAGAAGGAGTTCTACTGTTGGGAGAAGTCCCGGTGCCTGAGTCACAGGTGCCCTTATGACATCATGGTTCTCCCCTCCTCCTCTCTCGCTTCCAGAGCTGTGGCCCGAGGAGCATGGACCCGAGAGCGATGGGAACATCTAGCCCCTAACCATGGGTAATTTAGTGCAGAGCTGAGGGGCTTTGACCACCCACCCCCGGTCATGGGCATTTGATGTTTTGTAAGAGACGGATCCACCCGGGCTTTCTGCGAGGGCAGCACGTTTCCCATAGTTCCTTCAGGATGGGATCCCGCATCCGCGTCTGCGGTTCGAGGAGAGGCCAGGAAGCCGAGTGTGTACCTTGTGGTGGGAGAGCACTTTGACTTTCTCCCACGTTTTTCTCTCTAGATTCTGATTACACAGGGATAGCAAACCTTCCCAATTATACTCAGAGAGAATGATGAAATCACGTTGATGGCACAGAGCCGGAAGGAGCAAAAACGAGGAGTGACTCCACCCACGCCAGAGCCGCTGCCCTCCCCACCCTCCGTGGGTAGACGGGGCCAGACTCTGCTCTTGGGGAGAGCCTTGACTCGTGACTTCTCTGACCCTTGCGGTCCAGTGGAGTGGCCCAGAGGGCTGTGGCCATGCTGTTTATTGTCTAGAGATGCTTCAGTGAGTCAAAGCGGCCTTAACATTATACCAGGACAAGAGGTGGAAACCCAGGGTGTGCCAGGCAAATTGGGCTGAAGGACCACCAGACACAGAGCCGGAATGAGCAGAGACTGACTGACTCCCTCCCGGCTGCTCTTTCCCCGGCTCCTCCTCGGCCTGAGAGATGTGGGTCTGGCCAAGGTGTGTGGACGGTGCCAAGTAGGGGGCCAAAGAGTGTGAACCCAGACCCCACGGGGTTGGGAGCCACAAGGTGGGGACTGTGTTTAGGGAACACAGAGGCCAATGTACAGGAAGACTAGCTCTAGCAGTGTGTGTGCGTGTGTGTGTGTGTGTGTGTGTGTGTGTGTAACTGTGCCGATGTATGTGTGAACTGGTGTTTAAGCTCTTATTCAAGTGCATGAAGTTGAGGAACTTTGTAATATTTTGGTGAGGCAGAGGGGACACAGCTGGTCGCAGGTTTAACCTGAAGTCAGAGGCAAGGGGTGGGGGGAAGGGCGGTACTTTTCCAGAAGATGGGAGGGGCCGGGAGAGAAGTGACATGGATCTCAGGTAGGCGGTCAGATCCGGGTGAAACGTGTATCTGTCTCACCTCTAGATAATGGTGTGTACCTTGCTCTAGAATGGCCAGCGAAGTCCACGTGGACCCAGGTGAGGTTGCAGGGGCAGGTGTCCCTCCACTTTACAGATGGAGACCCCGGGACTCAGAGGGCCAGATGACGTGTCCGCGTCCATTAGGTAGAGAATGGCATAAGCAGGACGCTTGCAGCCGTTGCCAACAGCTCTCCTGAACAGATGAAGGGGTGATAACGGTGGAGGATCCGGGCCCCTTTCTGGCCGAAATGTATGCGCTTCCTAAGTGTCCCTTTTTCTCTTACAAGGCTCCAAGGGAGTTAAGATCACCATGACGCAAGAGGAGGCGGCAGTGTTCATCCAGGCCTGGTGGCGGGGTACCCTGGTGCGCCGGACGCTGCTGCACGCGGCGCTCAGGGCCTGCATCATTCAGCGCTGGTGGAGGCAGATGCAGGCGAGACGGCTGGAGAAGAGGCGGCGCGAGACTCTAGATTCGTATACACGGGACGAATGGGCCGCGGTCAGGCTCCAGTCCTGGGTCCGCATGTGGCGCATCCGCCTTCGTTACTGCCGTTTGCTCCACGCGGTCCGCATCATCCAAGTGTACTGGCGCTGGCACATTTGCCACACCCGGGGCTTTATTCAGGGCCATTACGACATCAAAGAAAACCAACTGAATCTTCAACTTGAAATCTCTTTGGGTTCACAGGCTTGTAGGGTGCAGCAGTGCATAGCCCTTCCAATAAAGGAGTGATCGGGTCTGTAGTATCTGCGTCCCCAGCGCTGTCAGATTTATTTCAAGGAGGTCGTCGAGCTAATGACGTGGCATCGCATAAATCAGCTCTGAGGAAGCAGCAGGGGTTGTCTGGGGTCTCGTGTGGGAGAGGATTCTGACAGCGGGGTGCTGGATGAGCAGGGTCTGTGATTGATTAGCAATGCCTGCCGCCGGTGGGGGCGTAGGGGTTGCAGGGCCAAGTCCCCCAACTCCAGGGAGCCTCCTTCACGGTGTGGTCTGCCGTGTATGGCACGGTCTCCTCCGTAGTTATGCAACATGGAGTGCTTTATTGTCTTTTGCTGTCCCCACCCTACCCCCTCCACTCCCGCCAATTTTTAAAATACACTAAGACTTTTTGGTAAAATATACATAATGCAAAATTCACCATTTTAACCATTTTTAAGTGGCATAGTGATCAGAGATGCACATTGCTCGCAAAATGATCACCCCACTAAATCTAGTACCCCTCTTCCCCCTTACATATTTATTACATTATTAACCATCTTCCCCATGCTACACTCCACATCTCTATGTCTATACTGCAGCTATCCATTTGTACCCCTTAATCCCTTTGCCTTTTTTTGCCGTCCCCACAACCCCCCTCCCATTCACTAGCCCTCAGATAGTCTCTGTAGCTATGAGTTCGTTTCCACCCTTGGTGTTGTTTATTTTGTTCTTTAGATTCTACATATATGCGAAATCATGTGATACTTGTTTTTCTCTGTCCGACCCGTTTCGTTCAGTGCAATACCCTCAAGGTCCATCAAGGCAGTACCTTTATCC